AAAGTGTGTCACTCAGCATTTCTCTTCAATAAGATTTTCTCTTCTGGGAGTGTAACTCTGGTGAAAAACTTGCCTAGCATGCATAAGGCCCCTGGTTTCTTTTCCAGCACTGCAAACATTTTTTTCTCCCCTGTGAATAAGGACTCAATCAGAGCATATTCATTGAATGTGTATTGTGCAGATGAGAATATTATTTTGAAATTGTTATAGACAATTGCCCTATTGAGGCTTTTGTATTAATAATTTGTTTCCTTTTTGAATAAGATATAGTATTAAAAGCAAAGAGCATGGTTTCTACTTAGTAAAATGCCAAGGTTTATATTCTATAGATTTGACAGAAGGGAAAACTAGAGAGAAATTGACATTTTACTCTTTTTTTTTGTTACTGGGAATAGAACCAAAGGATGCAGTTTTGCTCTATCATTGAGCTACATCCCCAGCCACAGCATTTTCTTCTTTCTAATTGTGTGTGTGTGTGTGTGTGTGTGTGTGTGTGATGGTACCGGAGCTTTCCTGAGTGCTGTCTCTTAGGTTGTTTTTTTGCTTAAAGCTGGTGCTCTACCACTGGAACCACAACTCCACTTCCAGTTTTTGGTGCTTAATTGGAGATAAGAGTCTCATGGACATTCCTGCCTAGGCTGGCTTTGAACCACAATCCTGAGATCTCAGCCTCCTGAGTAGCTAGGATTACAGGCATGAGCCACTGTTGTTTGGCTGTCCTTTTTATGCTGAATATGGAATCCAGGACCTCAAACATGGTAGGAAAGTACTGTACAACTGAGCCATATCTCCAGTCTTTCAATCCTTTTCTCATTCAAAGCACAAGAATATTTGATAACACATAAAGGAAATAGCAACTGTAGGGTTTCTCCATTCCTTTTTTTAAAAAAAAAATTTGTGAACATACTGTACAGAGGGGTTCCAATTACATGGGCAAGATAATGAGTACATTTCTTATCAAGCATTGCAGCCTCCTCCTTTGTTTACCCTTCATCCCTTCCCAGCCTCCCCCACCCACCCCAATCTTCCCCCACCACCACCAAAGTTGTAAAGTTCGTTTTCGACATGACAACTTGTATTTCTCATTGTTGCAACGGGTCCACCTGTATCCTTAAACAACTTGTTTTTCCCCTTCTCCTCCACAAATTATACCGACATCATATAGTGAAAGCAGGGGTTATACTGTGGGGGAGGGACATACAAAGCAACAAAGAAATAACCTTATAAATGCGTTAGTAACGAATGCATGAAAGAAAAAACATTTAATCCTTTTCTTTTCTGTACCTTTTAATATTTATTTCTTGTGGGGTACATATAGAAAGTTATTAAATTAGTTATTTTATTTTTTGAAAATGTTTATAGTCATTATAAAGATGATGTAAAGAAGGGTTACAGTTATATAAGTTAGGTGAAGAGTACCTTTTTTTTTTTTGATAATGTCGCTCCTTCCTTTGTACTCTCCCAATTTTTCCTTCCCATCCTCCAACTTTTTCCATTCTTAGAAAGTACTTTTTGTTAAGGGTCGTGTTGTACATTAGTATTCCACCACTTAGGAGTCTGAGGTAGGAAGATTAAATGTTTGAGGCCAATTGTCTCAAAAAATACCTTGAATTCTTTTTTAGGGGGAGTATTGAAGTTTGAATTTAGTTTGAACCTTGTGCTTGCTAGACAGACATTATTCCACTGAGCCATGCCTCCAGCTTCTCCCTCCCCACATTAATTATTTATGAATCAGGTCTGGCTTCCTGTGTAGGTATGTACCTGGACTATGATCTGACTATATTATATTTTCTGCTGTAGCTGAGATGAGAGACTATATGCTGCTATGCTTGGAAGCCAGACTTTTCTGCCCAGACTGCCCTGGGACCACTTTTCTCTTGACCTCAGCCTCCCACACAGCTAGGATAACAGGTACACATCACTGTGCCCAGCTATTGGCTAAGAAGGAGTCTTACCTGCATTTCTTATTTATTTTTTTTACTTTTTTATTTTATTTTATTTGTGAAGATACTGTACAGAGAGGTTACAATTACATGGGCAGGATAATGCGTACATTTCTTACCAAGCATTGCAGCC